CTCTCTCTCTCTCTCTCTCTCTCTCCATATTTGTTATGTCATTATCCAGGCAGAATAGGAAGCACCGAAAGGAAAGAGATTTGTGATTTGGGAAACACTTCTTTTAACAGAAGGGCAGTCCTTACAGTTATTAATTTCTTACCACAAGAGGCCTCTCTGATGTCTAAGATCATAGCCGAGAAGTGCCCTCAAACTTTGCATAGTGACAACAGTACCACTCTGCAGGAGACAATTGGACGGTTTTGCTTTGACCACTTCCAACACACTCTTCATCTCCATCCCAACGAAGAACCCAAAAAGAAATATATATATAGTGTGTGCGTGTGTGATGCAGATCTAAGCATTTGTTATTCTTCTTCTTCTTCTTCTTCTAAGTGCGGGCTTTGCTGTTTGTTTTCATTGCCATCTACACCTTGTTATTCTCCTATTTCTTCCTGTTAAATTACCAACCTCACATCCTCCTCCTGTCTCCTTCCTTTGTCCCTCTTTCTTCCTGATTTGTACTCATAACAAATTGCTTATATCAACTATATATCTAACATCGAATATAACTTTAGAGGAAGTTAAACCCTTTAAGACTATGTCTCCAATCCAGAAGAGGAGTCAGCATATCTTGGGTTCATCCACTGCAGATCAAAGGCTTTATGCTTCTCTGTCTCGTTTCGACGAAATAATCCCAAGTCTGCTTCGTCCATTTTGGTTGGGTCCTAGCTTGTCACTGGCAAAACACAGTGAAAGAATACTACCTAGTCTCAGTGTAGCATTAAGGCGGGTTCAGAGAGAGAGAGAGAGAGAGAGAGNACAAAACCACTAATCCGTACTTCCACTTCACTCTCTTCATCACCCCAATACCGACCAGACCAGTCCAATCCTCATCTTTGGGTTTTGGACACTTTTCTCTCTCTACACCAACATTTATACCACCCTCTCTTTTCTTCTCAGTTGGCTTTCTTTTTCTTTTCTTTGTCTTTTTGCTGATCCTTATCTAGAGATCAAGATCTGCATAGTCGTCTTCTGCTTCATCTTATTTTGTGAAACAGCTTTAAGTGACCGATCGAGGATCCGCTAAAATGTCCATGGAAAAGACACCAGAACGAGTTTGTTATGTGCAGTGCAACGTCTGCAACACCGTTCTAGCGGTATAATTCTCTCTCTCTCTCTCTCTCTCTCTCTCTCTCTCTCTCTCTTCTTTTAACTTCTAATGGACCAGCACGAGTTTCTGAGTTTCNTCTTTTAACTTCGAATGGACCAGCACGAGTTTCTGAGTTTCAATTCAGATTTATCATGATTTTAATGGAACAATGTTCAATGACCATTCCTGATCTTTTGTGGGTGATGATGAACAAAATTTCAGCACAGAAGACTGGTAAGAAATAGAATTGAAGCATATGATTGTCCTTACAGGCAATTAATATCAAGTCCTTCTTTCATCAATTCCACCATGACCAACTTCCATGTTAGAAATTTGTGAATCACTAGAATATGCTTAATATCTTTATAACGAGTCATATTTTATGTTAATTCATAATTGGGTATGTTCTGAAATCCTCAGATATCATCTTGAATTTCCAAGAAATGACGGGAAATGGTACATAGGAGTAGGAGCCTCTATCCAGTGGTTTTAAACTTCTGGTAATCCCTTAGTAGTAGATATCAGCGACTCTAACTATAATTGGTTTCATTGTCCTATACCCATATATGAGGATCTGAGGCTATGTTCATGACAACGACTATGAATTTAGGGTTCTTCTGAGGTCATGACATAAGTCAATATGAAGCTTTTTCAAAGATTTTCAAAAGTAAAACTTAGTGTCAAGTCTTATCTTAGACTATATTTAATTATAACACTGTTGATATTGTTTCCATTTAATTCAGTAGGTCATTACTTATACGTTTTCCTTCATTTTCTCATGTTCGTACGTCTGATCTCAGAAATAATTGTACAGCTTCTATGATGCCATTGCAACCCCCCCCCCCCTCTCTCTCTCTCAGGTGGGTTCTTCTGTTCATACCAGCTCTATGACCACTTAAGCATCAATTCATAAAACTTTGTCGGGTTGTTGACAATTGTGGGTATTTTTTTTTCTCTTTCCCTCTCTAAGATCTTCAGTTAATACAAGCCTTTCGTTGTGCAAGATATAATGAAGAGACTTGCCAAAAGAAAATCATGGCCATACGAACTGCTTTTTCTTCTTTTTCGACCTCTCCTTTCATCATGATATTACTTTTTTGAAGAACCATTTTGAAAGCATTTTTTTTTTCATCATGCTGCTATGTATATATCTGTGTGTATTTCACTTTTTCAAAAATTTATATGGTGTCATCTTACAGACTGTGAAAAGATCGAGCAGCGAATCTACTCTATGATTTTCTCTCTTTATTCATAGCCATCTTCGTTATGACTATTGTGATTTCTGTTCCAGTCACGTCGTTTTCCCTCTCTCTCTCTCTCTCTCTCTCTCCATATTTGTTATGTCATTATCCAGGCAGAATAGGAAGCACCGAAAGGAAAGAGATTTGTGATTTGGGAAACACTTCTTTTAACAGAAGGGAAGTCCTTACAGTTATTAATTTCTTACCACAAGAGGCCTCTCTGATGTCTAAGATCATAGCCGAGAAGTGCCCTCAAACTTTGCATAGTGACAACAGTACCACTCTGCAGGAGACAATTGGACGGTTTTGCTTTGACCACTTCCAACACACTCTTCATCTCCATCCCAACGAAGAACCCAAAAAGAAATATATATATAGTGTGTGCGTGTGTGATGCAGATCTAAGCATTTGTTATTCTTCTTCTTCTTCTTCTTCTTCTAAGTGCGGGCTTTGCTGTTTGTTTTCATTGCCATCTACACCTTGTTATTCTCCTATTTCTTCCTGTTAAATTACCAACCTCACATCCTCCTCCTGTCTCCTTCCTTTGTCCCTCTTTCTTCCTGATTTGTACTCATAACAAATTGCTTATATCAACTATATATCTAACATCGAATATAACTTTAGAGGAAGTTAAACCCTTTAAGACTATGTCTCCAATCCAGAAGAGGAGTCAGCATATCTTGGGTTCATCCACTGCAGATCAAAGGCTTTATGCTTCTCTGTCTCGTTTCGACGAAATAATCCCAAGTCTGCTTCGTCCATTTTGGTTGGGTCCTAGCTTGTCACTGGCAAAACACAGTGAAAGAATACTACCTAGTCTCAGTGTAGCATTAAGGCGGGTTCAGAGAGAGAGAGAGAGAGAGAGAGCATACATTCCAAGGCAAGCTCATTTCTGATAAGAAGAATTGAGATTACTCACTGTTGCTTACTTGCTAATTTGGTTCTGAAATGCATATATATGTATATATGGTGGCAGGTTAGTGTTCCATGCAGCAGTATGTTGACCATTGTGACTGTCAGATGTGGGCATTGCGCAAATTTGCTGTCTGTTAATATGGGAGCTGTGCTTCAGACACTTCCTCCCCAAGATCTCCAGGTATATGTGTGTGTAACTGTGTATATATATATATATANAACAATGTTCAATGACCATTCCTGATCTTTTGTGGGTGATGATGAACAAAATTTCAGCACAGAAGACTGGTAAGAAATAGAATTGAAGCATATGATTGTCCTTACAGGCAATTAATATCAAGTCCTTCTTTCATCAATTCCACCATGACCAACTTCCATGTTAGAAATTTGTGAATCACTAGAATATGCTTAATATCTTTATAACGAGTCATATTTTATGATNTTTTTTGGGTCACCAAGAAAATACTGAAATAGACATCGGTTTCAGTGACCAAGATTCCACAGCATTTACATTTACACATATTTGCTAGCCCAGATTCTTTGACATATATTATAGAGAAGAATATGCTAGTTTTTTCATATTTAATAAAACTATTGTTTTTTTTTTTTTTNTTAATTCATAATTGGGTATGTTCTGAAATCCTCAGATATCATCTTGAATTTCCAAGAAATGACGGGAAATGGTACATAGGAGTAGGAGCCTCTATCCAGTGGTTTTAAACTTCTGGTAATCCCTTAGTAGTAGATATCAGCGACTCTAACTATAATTGGTTTCATTGTCCTANTGGGTAAGTGAAAAAAAAAATGTTGTTTAATTTCCTCAGTTTGTTGTAGTTTATCTATAACAGTTCTTTTTCTTGTGATTAATTTTCTTCTATTATTTTTATAAATTTTCTCTTATTCTGAACCTNTGTAGTTTATCAATAACAGTTCTCTTTCTTGTGATTAATTTTCTTCTATTATTTTTATAAATTTTCTCTTATTCTGAACCTTCATACCTTCTTCTTCCATCCTTCCTTCTTTCCTCTTGTTTGGTCTGATTATCATTTTTCTTGGCTAAGCCAAGTATATATACATACATACATATACATATATCATTGATTTTGTTGAGGTACATACATTGTTTTTGACCAATGAAAAATAAAAATAAATGGGACTGTTTGCTTGTTTTCACGCCTTACTTGTTTGAAAGAAGTTGCAGAGACAACAATCCAGCTTTGAAGATGTTAGTAAGAACATTGGGTCGACTTCTACATGCAGCAAATTTGCAGCCTTTGAATCTGCTGAACATGAACCTAGAATGCCTCCCATACGCCGTGAGCTCTCTCTCTCTCTCTCTCTCTCTCTCTAAGAGAGTAGTACTCTGAGGCCTACACTANATGCAGCCTTTGAATCTGCTGAACATGAACCTAGAATGCCTCCCATACGCCGTGAGCTCTCTCTCTCTCTCTCTCTCTCTCTCTCTCTCTCTCTCTCTCTAAGAGAGTAGTACTCTGAGGCCTACACTAAATGTTAAGGCTGATAGTGAAGGTCTAAATGCATAACCAACTACTCAGACTTCATTTAAAAGGGCAAGAAAATATTGAAACCAGTACTGTCTACTACCAACTGGCACTTTTTCCATAATAAGTTATTCTTATTAGATAGAACTCAATAGCATTACTAATAGTTTCGGGACAAAAATCAAACCTGAATTAAACCATGACCTAATAATGTTTTAAGTAATATAATATGGTCCCAATGAAAACTTCAACGGTTACAGTGATAATAGTACTATTGAATCATGCCATGCCAGCGCACACTTCATTAGCTCCGAGAATTAGGTCAGATTTTTCAATCCGAAACACAGCCCCATCTCTTTATCAAGGCCACTTGTAATGGAATGGAGCAACTCTCCATTACTAAATGGTAAAGGGACACTTGTGTTGTTGCCTCATTCATGACCTAGTGTGATTGTGACCTTACCTTTGTATCCAACTCATCAATTGTGATGGTGTCCTGTAATGTATGTCAAGTCTTTTTACAGGTTGAACATTTCAAAACCTCATCTCCTCGGTCTATGCCATAACCCCACTAGGAATTACAGTTTTGCTATATCTTTGTTGGGGATAAATCCATCTTTTTTAATTTTTCATCAAAAAGAAAATACAAAGAACAAAAGGAAAAATTTGGGAAAACTCCCCAAGAAATTATATGCACTTATAAAAAAGTCTCAAATGCTCTCCCCTCAGTGGACTACGTAATTGACTATTTTATAATAGCAAAATCCTACTCGAATTTTAAAAATAATGTAACAGACTCCAAAATAAACTCGAAAAAACTTCGAATTTCTTAAAAAAAGGTTGCAAAATGGTAAAAATAAAATAAAATAAAGACAATGTCGTTCAAACGTGCTCCAAACTAGTATTAGAGTCTGTGGAAGACATTGATCTCATTAGAACCAGATGCCACAACTTACACTACAGCACAATAACGAACAGTCGATCATTGGAAAGACATGTAAAATCCCTAGGGGTGGCAGTAATAAACTGTCCTAGTCCTAGCCCAAGGTTTTTGCATTGCATATATAATCACTGGAGTGCATGGTACATATATATATTGTTTTCCTCATCATCAATGGTCATCCATCGATACATGCATGCAAATTAGGACCTCTATTTTTAACTAGAAACATAGAGCCATGCGCATTGTCATCAACATACATGCTTATTTGTTTTGCCTATTGTACGCATATTGAATCATGGACTTTCTATGCTGCATTTCTGTTCATGAATAGGAATTTAACAATCCTTCTCACTATAGCGATATATCATAATCTTTTGCAGCCCCAGAGAAGCGACAACGTGTTCCTTCTGCGTATAACCGATTCATTAAGTAAGTTGGGGTAGATTTTAACATCTATTTGTTCACTGTTTCATGAATTTTTTTGCACTTCCTTGAATAGCCATGTTCTAGTTCACAAGCAAAGAGACATAAACAGATTACTAAAGATATGAATCGTTCTAGATACTGCTTCAGCATTAGCAGATGGGGCAAAAAATGCCATTGTTTCGAACATTTTTTTGATGTGCTTAATTTTACAGGGAGGAGATTCAAAGGATAAAGGCTAGCAATCCCGACATTAGCCACCGCGAAGCTTTTAGCACAGCAGCCAAAAACGTAAGTCACAGTTGAGAAATCAAAAACAATGGCACTCCAATAACATCAATAGATTAGATCGGTAAGTTAGGCCCACAGATTATTTCCCAACAACATTACGATATGAGAATTTTCACCAAAACAAAGGACAATAAATTAGAGAAGAATGATAAGAGAACTAGCATTCCCATGTAGTAATAACTCTCTCCTGCAGCTGTGGGAAACCTATTGCCATATCTGTATCGCCAATTTTGTCGTTTTTACACTTGTTTGGTGTGTTTTTCAAACCTTTTCTCGCTAAACAAAGAGCAAATATTGCTTGGCAGATTACACTAATGTTGCTTATTTATCATTTTTATTTTAGTGATTCTATGATTTCTCCAGTACCAATCATTTGAACTTCCATAAATCTAGGACAAATTGCTAGGGTGAATAGTAAGTTATATGATGTGTTTTTTGTGTAAATTCAACACTTATCAACTATCCTTTGCTTTGCAATCTTCCTTGAACTTTGTAAAGAAAACCTACACATATTTTGATAGAAGTTTGAGGATTCGTTTTTCCCTTTTTATGAGGGCCATTTACATCCCTCCTTTATCTAAAAGTACAAATTGGAACATTGTATCCAAGAAACCACATGAAGAAACATGCCCACTAATACTTTGATTTGAAACATGCCCACTAATACTTTGATATGAAACATGCCCACCTTAATACGGACGAGTTGTTGGTTTAAGGTCTATACTTCCCTCATAATTCTACTTGTTTAGGTTATATGGTTTTGTTTATGAAGTGGTGATCACTCTTTTTAGGGGCACCTTTTTGTTAATTGTAAAGTTTTGTTTTATCGGTAGAATCATTTCATTTTAGGAAAAAAAAATACACAAAACTTCATAAACAAAACCATATAACATTGTAAGCTACTGTAATGTAATATATGGTAGGTATCGATAATAAGCGTTGTTATTGTTTGAAAAAAGCGTAACGTNAAGTGTATTTCAATGAAGTGTCAAAGTGTTGGTTTAAGGTCTATACTTCCCTCATAATTCTACTTGCTTAGGTTATATGGTTTTGTTTATGAAGTGGTGATCGCTCTTTTTAGGGGCACCTTTTTGTTAATTGTAAAGTTTTGTTTTATCGGTAGAATCATTTTATTTTAGGAAAAAAAATACACAAAACTTCATAAACAAAACCATATAACATTGTAAGCTACTGTAATATAATATATGGTAGGTATCGATAATAAGCGTTGTTATTGTTTGAAAAAAGCGTAACGTAAGTACTTATCTCATACTCCACCTCATGGGTGGCCACTTGTGGGTGATCTATTTATGTGATTTTTGTTCTCTTTTTTTTTTGGTATAGTAAGAGAGGAGGTTTGGTATAATTGAACTCAAAATCTCTAGATTTTGATACATGCCGAATACTATTTACTCTAACAACTTAATCTGTTAGAGTGAAGTGTAACATAAGTATTNGGTATAGTAAGAGAGGAGGTTTGGTATAATTGAACTCAAAATCTCTAGATTTTGATACATGTCGAATACTATTTACTCTAACAACTTAATCTGTTAGAGTGAAGTGTAACATAAGTATTTATCTCCTATTAAGGACATAGTAGAAGTGGAATTGAAGGCTGAAGCATAGTTTTTCTGTTGTTTTTTGCAGTGGGCACATTTCCCTCACATCCACTTTGGACTAAAGTTGGATGGCAATAAGCAAGCAAAGTTGGATCATGCAGTTGCAGGAGAAGGAACTCAAACATCTCTTGGATTATATTGAGACGATGGAGTATTATGANAACATCCACTTTGGACTAAAGTTAAATGGCAATAAGCAAGCAAAGTTGGATCATGCAGTGGCAGGAGAAGGAACTCAAACATCTCTTGGATTATATTGAGACGATGGAGTATTATGATAAGTACTTTTTTTTTTGTTTTAATGTTCTGAAACTGCTTAAATCTGAGGTTGATGAAGTTTCCTAACTCATAGCAGGAAGTCTCATTAAATTCTCAACATCTTTATGGCATGTACTTTTGCCCTATTTTAGTATGTGGTCTCTGTGAAGGGACTGGGATTCTTTGTGATTGTATTTATGTTGAGCTTCATAAGTTGTAGTAACAACATGTACTGTTACAATGTGCATTTGTTTTATCCATCAGACTTCAGACTGTGTGTGTGTGTGTGTGTGTGTGTGTGTGTGTGTTTGTACATGTTTGTTTCTACTTGTTGGGAAGATGCCATATGGTCCAATGTGGTAGTGAGGACCATTTGTCCTCTATACAGGTGTTATAATTTAAATTTAATTCAAAATATTCTAGAGTGATTGCTTATCAAAACATGTCAGCTTTTCTATATTACAAATGGCATGTATTTTTATTCTTTTTATATAATAACTGTCATAACATTTAGGGATTTAGCCATGTTTGGGAAAAATTTAGGGATTTGGATATTCCAATAAATTGTCTCTATATAGTTCGAGTTTTAATTAGTTAATCTAATTATACAACTTTTCATAGTTCTCTCTTATTTTCTCGGTGGATTCAAATTATGTATTTTTTGTATAAAGAAAGAGTAATTTCTTTTTGTTTCGGCCCGTTGCTATTAGTATAAAGAGCAAATAAGAGAATTTAATATAAGGAATATTGTCCTCGAATTGTGCTAATTTTTTTTTATAAATAAGTAATTTTATTAAGATCAAGCTTACTAGATAGGGTTTTAACCAAATAACGTACTATCACGTTTAGGTCATGTTATTCTTTGAAAAAAAATAATTTTTGTTAGGAATTATATCATTCAAGTACTAGTCGTTTAATTTTAGAACCGTGTCGAGTACTAATAAATTCAAATTCATCTCTATTGATTAATCTGTTAGATGAATAGACACTGACCTAATATATTTATCGATCTTGTTGTGCTTGGATTGACAAGTATAACCTGTGAACTAGAAACCTCAGATTATAGAACTCCTTTTGTCACTTAATCGAATTCACCACTTAAAAGGCCATATAAATTAAAGTTCACTCTATCAATATACTAGTAAAGTAAAAAAAAAAAAAAAAAACTGTTAATTCTACATTCATTCGGACAAAATGAAAAAAAAACCTTTAAAAAATCAATTATTTTTTCATGTAATATAGATTAAAAGAGTTTATTGTATTAAAATTTGGTTATTTGTGATTGATAATGACTCGTTTCAATTATAACTATGATAGTGAGATGTGTCATATTTAGATTTATATCGACAATTAGCAATTTTAACTTATTAACTTCAAATTAAGTTATGTCGTTTTAAGGTATTTTCTACAAAAATAATCGTCACAATCCCGTCATAAGCACAACTAAACTGCACAAGTAATTGAGTGGCATATAGGATGGGAGTCGGGCAAATCTCTCAAATTTAATCGATATTTATAAGTAACGGGTGATTATGTGTATTAAAAATTTACTCTATGGATATGAGTTTAATATAAAGTTGTCTTAAAGAGAAGTTAAAAAAAAAAAAAAAGAAAGTAAGCAGAGAGATAAATGCAGTACTCCAAGCAGCTGAGGGTTGATGGATACAGTTCAAGTGTTCATCTGTCACCTTCATTTGCTCAGGTCATGACATTACAGCAAGGACTTCATTACGGTATCGAATAAAACAAAAAATTGTACCATATTTTTAAAATTTATTAATTTTATTAATATTTTTGTGCGTACTTTTATAATAATAAAATTTCTCACTTTTATAGGTATTTTTAGCAATATTATGATAACCATTTCAAAGATTTTTTTATGTATTACAACAGTGACAAAAATACTCATAAAAATAATAAATATTAATACGATACCGAATTTTTGTTGGTACAGTAAACAACCCCTGCCCCTAATAGCAAGAAACTGAGACTTGAAATGAAACCCAAAATTTACTGCACTTTCTCTCTAGACGTTTGTGGTATTAAAATATTTTTTTTTGATATTATATTTTTGTTTTTATTAAATAAAAATCTAAAATGTATGAAAATTTTATTTTATTATTTTTTAATCAATAATTATAAAATAATTCAAAGAAATTTTACAATTGAACTTTCTCTTAAAATAATCTCGATAAATTAAATATTACTAATAGTATTGCTCAACATGATAAGAAAGACCACCTCGGGATACACAAAAGATACTATACACATCGAAGTTAGTGTGTGTATGTGTGTGTGAGGGAGAGAACCACAGAAAACATTCTCCGCAGACAGATTACTGCTGTCTGAAACCCTAGCTCGTTGTTTCAAAAGGGTTTCTTGGTAGCTTTTTCGGTAACTAAGATTGTTGTGTTGGTAGTTAAATAACAAAAATCCCTGCTTGCTCCCTTCCCTTGTATTCTAAGAACTCGCCATCCAACTCTACAACTGGAAAATCTCTCTCTCTCTCTCTCTCTCTCTCTGGTTCAATTAGGGTACCGAAACTATTTGATACCGTATCTTTTATTTTCCATCAGCCAGAATTATAACATGTGTAAAATTTATATTCTTTTAGATCAATGGTATCTACAATAATTTTTGGTATATGGTACCACTTCGGTATCACGTATAGTGCTTTATTTTTTTTTTGGTGCACAAAATACACACACAACATAGTCCACACATCATAAGCAACTGANATAACATGTGTAAAATTTATATTCTTTTAGATCAATGGTATCTACAATAATTTTTGATATATGGTACCACTTTGGTATCACGTATAGTGCTTTATTTTTTTTTTGGTGCACAAAATACACACACAACATAGTCCACACATCATAAGCAACTGACCAGGAGAGGGACCCTCTATTTGAGTTATATTTTCTTTGAAATAATCCCGGCGGAGGGTCAAGACTAAAGAAATTATAAAATNTTAAAATTTGGTTATTTGTGATTGATAATGACTCGTTTCAATTATAACTATGATAGTGAGATGTGTCATATTTAGATTTATATCGACAATTAGCAATTTTAACTTATTAACTTCAAATTAAGTTATGTCGTTTTAAGGTATTTTCTACAAAAATAATCGTCACAATCCCGTCATAAGCACAACTAAACTGCACAAGTAATTGAGTGGCAT